TTCATCCTACTTTGTGTATGGAATCATGGAGGCAAAATGTCACCAACGTTTCTGTGGAGCGAAGAATGATCCTCCTTCCCCGTTGGCTTCAGCCACGACGCTCTCGCTTTTAGGCTTTTCATTTCTTACAATATTTCATATTGCTTTTGCAGAAATAAAGTCCAAAAGCGTATTCAGGTATTTCCGAGGATTTCGCTCTGTGCACTGACTTTGCGTGGCGTTCCATGCACACATAATCCTCTGCGTGTATGAATATTTCCTTATTTGCATACCCATTTATTAGAGGTGCATAATGCTCTTGGGCTTAGTTTAGTGGTTGGTGGTGGTGGTGGTGGGACTGGTGGGAGATGAGGTTACGGTCGGAGGAGGAGAGAAAGTGAGATGCATCGGAACGATGGATGCCTCTTGATGTATTATGGCTTCAAGTAAATTGGCGGTGAGGAGACTCTCTCTGGAGACGCATTTTCTCCCTCTTGCAACATATATTTCTATATATTCAGACACTTATTACTACGATGAGCTCCTTTCACTCAGCCTTTGCCTCTATCTCCTTCGCACAGTCATTTCGTTACCCACACCATACCCGTCCTTTCTGTGGCTGTGTGTGTGGCAGGACGACTTTCTCAACAATTCTTTACACTTTCCACATGTTTGCTCTTATTAAGTGCCTGTGGTTTCCTGCCAAGCAGCATTTTCCTTCATAATATTTCCCAAGAAATGCGATAATGACATTTGTTTTCCTGCCAAGCAGCATTTTCCTTCATAATATTTCCCAAGAAATGCGATAATGACATTTGTTTTCCATACTGAAAAAATATTTGTAACTCAAAAATCACTCAGTATGCTATTTGTTAAAAATGAATCCATCATGAACGGTGGAACTCTTTCATGAAAGTTCGCAAGCATGGCCACCCAATCCAATAAATCGAAATCAGTCCCTCAATTTAGGTTCCTGCTATTTACTCTAATCTTCTTGTGTTCGTTATAAAGAGCTTAAATTTGAAATGGTATACGTACTCGTGTCTATAGTATGAAGGAATGAAGACGTATAATGAAAAGTGTCCAAGAAGATTCTACCAATTGTGAGTGAGATGAAAGAGGAGTCTTAAGAAGTTCCACCAAGATAAGCCCGACAGGACCAAATCTCTTTCTAATGAGTTGCTGCTAAAGGTATTTTGTCCAAAAAACACTTGAAGAATTTTGCCTACCACCAGCAGAGTTTGGTGCACACGAGGAGTACCACGAGACGAGTAAAGATAAATAGGTTTTCCATGCAGCACATGGACACAAAAACCCGATGAGACGATGAAATTCTACGTAGCTCAATACTCACAAGAATATGTCATGCAGGAATTTGCACCCAGCTTTAGTGAAGTTTTTGGGAGATTGATCGATACATGGGAGCAAAATGTAAAAATTCAGGAAGCGATTAAGATTTTGGTTGATATGGTGGGTGTACAAAAAAGTGTACTTCGTTTGGCTCAAATGCTTCATCTATCAAACGTTACAACCGTAACAGCAAGCATGCTCTGGTTGGATTTCAAATTTAAAACCAGCTTAATAAGAAGTTCAAGCAAGACTTACCTGTTTGATATCTTGTATTCGTAATCCTTTCTGAAAAGGGATTACGTCGTAGAGAGAAGATAATCCGATCTGAAAGAAATGAAAAAAGGTTCTAAACTTCGGCTTCCTCTACACATCCTATTTATCAAGCAAATTATCCGTCCTCATCATCATTTGATGGGAAAATTCTGTTTTTATCCTCCTGAAATGATGAATGACGAATTCTGAAGCGTTTGAAACTGCCGTTTATTTTGGCGTAAAATTTACTATCTGATCATCTGGTTCTACATACGTAGTGGGATATCTTGCCAAGTTAAACTTGGGAGAACGAATGAATATTAAAACTCACAAAGTAGGAGATTACTTACCTTGTAAATTGTAGAGCAGGTGCACCATTCGTATGCCAAGTCTCATTTTGTGGTTAATAATTTACATGCATCTGGGAGGTCAGAGTTCGAAATCAGTTAAGTTATGTATGTTGCTCAATCGGGATTCATATAATCAAATCGGAAGTGAGCTAAGCCTGGCTGTTTACACAGAGGGAAAATGTTTGGCGAGATTTTTCATTCGATAAACTACACGCCAAGCAGAACAACCAACCGCAGCATGAACCCAGTGACATGGTTATCATGGAATGACAGATTGGTTTGGTTTCGGGCGATATTTTATCATTTTTACATATTACAAAATTTCTTCCTTATTGTCGAAAAGAAAATGGTGATGCGAGGACGATAAGAGGAACGAAAGTTGCTTGCAGGCAGTGGGTTTAGCTATGTATGTAGCAGCAGCAAAGTAACTATAATGGGAATTATTTTGTATCCGTCCAACTGCAAATTTTGTTTGGCAATCAATAAGACGTCCGCCTGCTTGGTAGGGGTTCTTGTAGCAATTGTGTACTACTTGTATGCTTGCTCCTATGCTTTCATTCTTCCATGACTCAGATTTTACATCATTCATTTCGTTCATCAACCAGCTCCACAAGAGTGAATATATGCAACCCGTTTTGTAACGCTGTGTTGGGCCATCAACATATACATGCATTACATTTGTAATAGTGACGTGACGTCTGTGAAAGGGGTCGTAAATAGGGAATAGGGGAATGATTGATGGACATTTCAAAGTCTTTGAATGAATGACATCCATACAATATCCTCGAGCCAACTTTCTCTGCTGATAGATTCCCACTTTTTCTAATGGACTCGACAACCACAATCCACGAGGAGGGATAGCACAGTGAGTTCTGACTCTTCATGCTGCAAGCGGTTATCGGAACATCAGCACATGTGTCATCTTTTGTCCATAAGTGGACATTGACGTGGATTACTAATAATGCTTAACAAAAAATATGCATTCGTGAAGATGGATATTAAGGAGGGCTGAATTAGGCGATAACTATGGCTGTTGGTATCATTGTAATGCCGATTGTATAAATTGCCATTACAACATTTCTTTTCTGCTGACCAAGACGTTCGCATTTCTTGAACAGATATACTTGACAAAATAAGTAATGATACGGCGATTTATATATGTGTGAATAAATTATTTCTCACAATAATTTTGCAATTCTACGCCATTTTTGGACTAAGGTTATATATACATATATATAAATGCTGAATGATAGATTATGTAATGTAGATAATACTTGATTTTTTAAATTATTTTTTCCTCCGTTATCAGCACAGGTAATTGATTAAATGAGTAAAGTCCAAGTCCGTGTTTTGTAGTACGTGTATGTAAAAAAACATGAAAATTCAATGTTCACAACACTGCTTCAATTTGAAATTCATTGTTCTGGGTCACCCCCAGATATGCACATACATATGTATTCTCCAAAGAATCTTCTGATTTATGAACCTTGTTTGAGTTTCTGAAATGATTTATTTTTAACGGGAATGAAGAACATGTCCTTGTTTGGTTTAATAGGGCGCTATTCCATATCTTTATGCGGTTTGGTTGAGAAGTTGCGACGATGACTAGAATGACCGGACCGCATGCAGGCCACATATTAAAGTTTTGCCTTCGTGGGTTGTTATTTATTCTACATTTTCTTTGAATCTCAAGATTTACAATTTTTCTTGAGATTTACTCCTAGAATTCATTGTTCATTCCTATTGAACAACCTGCTAGCTTTGCATTCTGTCCCACTATTGTCTGTCCTCGTGGTTATGAAACATTGTGCTCATGTGTAATGGAACGTGTCCAAAATTTTCAGATCACTGATCAAATGCTTACTTTTCATTTTTACTTTTACAAGTTTCCAGTTTTCTACTGGAAAAGTTTTTTTTACTATCTTCAATTATATGAAAATTAGAGAGCCTCAAGAATTGCGCTCCCCACGCACTCATTTCTACCACCAAAGTGGGCAAGCCAGTCGTATTTCCAACTAGTCAGTTTCTTATGGACGTAATATAATATGAATAACTGGCTCAAAAGGCCATGTCCAGTGTCACATGCAGTGAACAAATTTATGATCACGTTTATGGGGTAAAGATGAACTAACAAGAAGATAGGAAAAAACTGTCCTGCGATGATGTCCTCTCTTGTGCGTTCTATTCTTCCTGCATGTGTCGGATGCAATTCGGAGTTTGAATACTCCCCATTCAAGGACATTCACTTTTATTTCACAAATAGTTTATCTGACGTAGTTTCTACCATAAATTAAAAAAAGTATAATGCACACTGTGAACATGTTCATTTTCTCTTTTCGCCCTTTTAAACTTCTTGCATATTTCTGAGAGGAGATGCTGTCATATAAATCAGAGGGACGATGATGATTCCATGCATATTTTACCATCTTTGTCCCATGGCTGGTCGCGCACATTCATTTGGTGGTCTGGTCCACGTCCCCCTTCATCCTCGCTTTGGAAACGTCGTAGATTGGATGTTACACTTTTTCAACATGTTCCCTCCTCAGTTGGGCCTAATCTTCATCCGGCTCTCGTGGGTTGAGAATTGAGAATTCTCCCACAAAAGGGCTTTCCATCTTCTTGTCTTCATTTTCTCATTATTTTCATCTCTTCCTTTCATACTCGCCTTTGCTCAACTCATTCAGTCCCATAACCGTCGCAACTGTATCAATTCACCACAATTCATATCGTCTTAGAAAACATGATGACATGTTTAATATCAGTCGGCCTTTTCATCAGCAAATCTTTTTGTCCGGCATTGGTGTCCTTTTAAGGAAAAAAATCTCGGCTATGCAATTTAAACGATATTAGTTCATGATTGGTTTCTGAAAGTTTTCTCTGCACGAAATTTTCTCGAGTGAAATTGGACTCCGAGTTTAGTATTTGTATCTGTTTCTTATATGCATTATGTGTACTAAAGGGGAACAAAATGCAATGGATCCTTGCAAACTGTATTTATGAATTAGCCAATCAAACACCATCTCTTCTCAATTTTGAAGTACAAAAAAATTCACAAATGAAATGATATTATAAAAAAAAGGTCGTCTTTATTGATTCCCAATTTTAGCCATTACATTTGAATTACAAGTGAACCAAACCTCACATAAGTGAGAAATAGATGGTCACAGGTTCCTAACTATGGTGCCCGTAGTGCAATGGACACCGCACAGACCTGTGCAACAAGTCAGAGAGGAAAACCACAAGGGAAAAAACTCTCTGCCAGTACTGGGAATTGAACCCAGAACCTCCATTCGGCTTGAAGCACAGTGTGATGACCACTCGGCCACCACTGCCTGCCACATGCAGATAAATAATTTGTTAATTATCAGCTTGAATAACAAAGCCTTATTTTATAATCCACAAATTAATTTTATTAACGAATAAAATTGAGCTCCTAAGATGTGGGATTTAGTCCATTCAAATACCTGATTAGTAACAAGAGCACTCAAGCGTATCATTAACGTTGCAGAACTTCTAGTGGAATTTTTTGTCCTTGCACATGTCTAAATAAATAATACAAAAGACAAACCAACAATGTGAAAAAATCATAATTTTTTAGTCCTTACACTTCTTGGCCAGTTTCCTAAGATAATAATATTATTATCTGAGAATGCGTATAATGGAATTTTCGACTTTCTCGAGTGTGCTGAAGAGCTCTGAGAATTACTTGAATATTATGTTAATGGAGGCAGTTTTGGTTTCTGGTCCAAATTTCTTTTTTTTTCAAGTGTGTCTACACGGCGTGTATTCGTAAGTATGTGCATGGAACCCTCGCATAGTTGGCCATGTCGTTGGTTTGACTGCATTATTCGGGAGTTGGATTGAAGCTACATACGAGAGTCGTGCGGTGTGATTTATGTAGAAAGTAAATGGGAGTATGTACAAGTCGCTTCTTCAGCAGAGAGCGCGTGAGACGTGAAATTTTTGAACATAAATAATAAATGAGTTATCATAATAGGGACATGTTAACTTGCCTCGAGTCAAAAACAACAAACTCTCCCAAAGGGTACACGAACGAGTAATGAGCATCCAACGAGCGACGATTCCATATACGAATCAAGGTTAACCCTTCCTCCATCTCAGGTAAAGTTCAAAATTCAACACATGTCGACACATACGTGATGAAACAATGACAAGTTCCCTGACTCTATCGGAGTAAAGTTGTGTCTTTACAAATGCCATTGGTTTTATCAAAAATGCACAAACTTAACTACGGATAAGCATGTGTTGGAGTTTAAAGTTTAAAAATTAAGAATTGAACTCGGGTTATGAATTGTTTTCACCCTTTTATTGGTTCAATAATGCGTGCGTTGACAGGCCCTTTTCTGCATATTATTTGTTGCAGCAGCGAACAAAAGCCTGCTGACTGTGTGCATGGATGTTGAAAGACCGTTTTTAAGAAGAAGGTTTCAAAACACCTTTTAAACAAAACAATGCATACTTAAAACCCAGTCTTGAGAGGTATCATATTGCATAATAAATTGAATGCGTATGGAAATGAGAGTCGGAGGCTGTAAATTATCTCTCTCCAATGAGCACAGGATGGGATGAGTTGTTGGCAGTTTGAAATATTCAAACCAAAAGGCAGGATTTTCTGAAATTGATTTGTGTGTTGGTTTATCATGCTGCCATTTTCCTCTTAAAGTATTTGCTTTCTCATTTGAAATATGAGCATGTAAATATGAGCATGTGCTGTAATGTGTCATGATGAAACGCAGGGGCTTATGATATTTGCTGTTGGGGTGGGTGGGATTTGGTCAGGTGGTCCAGGAAGTTTAGAAATGGTTGATGAAAAATGTTGTCTCTCGTTTCTTATATTTGCTCAATAACAGACCAACCTGGGATGTAACTACGAAGATATGATAAGGTTTGTGTCACGCATAGTCCAAATATTTTCTAGGGTGGAATATATAAATATTTTGCCTGTATAATCATTATGAATGTTTACATCATAAAGAGTAAAGGGGAGTTCATTTGAATTTAGTGATGCTCAACAACCAATAAACTTGGACTGTGTATGTACACACGGTCAGGCTTTAATTCAATGGGACGTTTGCTTGCTACTCATTAAAGAGGTTCATTCATCAAAGCGATAAAAGTCAACAGCTTCTAAACGGCCTTTGGATGTAGAAACATGAACATTTTTACATTGAAGCCGGTCCAAGAAGGGGTTTACATTACGCTCTTAATAATAATAAGCAAAGCATATAAAACCCTTAGTGAACGTGTAAGATAAACAGCTCGGGAAATTTAATGACCCAATAGAGGTAACATTTCCAGTCTCATTTACATTTGATCCTGTAAATGCAATCAGGTTTACAATGTTTTTTTTTATTCTCTATACATACATGCGTACACAAATGCGTATACATACGTATTATATATGTAGGCTGGTAACTTGGAATGAATGCAGTGCTTGAAGAAGCTTTGGGATGGCTCTTGTTGGAAACTTTATGTTTGGTTAATAGACTTTCATTGCAGAGTTAATGTGATTCAATATAAGAAAAGAAGAATGGATGCATTATCGCACCATCATAATCGCAGACACAGAATTGCTTTGTTTTGTAATGTAAACTTGACCATCGTCATTTGGGATTTGGAAGAAAGGAACGAAGCAGACTTGGCGAGGCATGTGTGTATGCATATGCATGCACATACATACTTTTAGCTGTCTCGGCATGTTAATTTTATCGACGACTTTCCAACAATTCAAATATAAGGCGTTGGATGCAAGTGCTGTGTGAACCCCTGCCAAGATCACCAGTATCAGTCACCCCTGGGCCGTAAACATCACGCTGGGTGATTCTTGCATTCACCCCTTTGAGACAAAGACCAATTCGTAATCTGCTGACTGACGCTGCTCATTTTACAATCTGGGAAACCTTCGATTTTTATAGATTCTCCTCAAAATTTAGTACGGAGAAGGTTAAAAAACTGGAATAGGTAGAGTCATTATTGTCACTTGCTTTATCCTGACGATAAACAAAAATACAATCCGTATACTTGTTATTACTTGATAGAGTTCAACATATGCACAACTACAAGGGAGACTGACGCACTTGAGCAAACACGTACAGGAAGCTTCCTCCCTCCTTCAACATTGTGGATGACCCGTTTCAAATCTAAAAATATAAAGTATAAAAAATCCCTCAATTGTGAATATCACGATTTGAAGGATGGATGGGGTGGGCAGGAAGATATACGGAGTATACTTTTAGAGATCTAAATATATGGTAACCTTTGTCGTCATCATTACATTGCTCAAACACCACGACTCAATGAATCTGCTAAATTCGACGTTAAATGCTCCAATGCCTCCAATGCCCATAAGATTGTGTGGGATTTGGGATTCAAATCGAAATTGGATTGCTTGCTGCATTCTATCCCATCGCATATCGGGCACTGCATTTCATGGATTCATTTATTACCGCAGGGCGATTATGTTATGTTGATTATTGATTTGATTGGATGATCTTTTGAATAGAAACTGAATGGAAACCGTGACAGTTGGTCTCGTTAGCTCTGGTTTTGTTCGACCAACATACATTTCTACATACTTCTCTATCCAACTGCAGAAAATGGCTGGGTAGAAAAACCAATCGCATTATTATATAGCGTGTAATTTCTCACCATATCTGATTCACCATGTGAATGTGGATCATCACTGCAACGTTCTGATCTGCTCCCTTAATACAAAATAATAATGTTGCATTATTAGGCCAAGCTCCAGCTCATAGACAAAGATGAAATGAGGGCACACTAAATTTTGACAGTAATATTGGCAAAGTAAATGAAATGGGAATTTTTTAGGAATTAAAAAAGGATTGAATTGGACGAGGAACAATTCCGAGAACGATGATGTGATTATGTGGGAGGGCGTTCCGTTTCTTTATAGTCACGAGTATGCAAATGACCCTAAAAGCAAAGATCGTCCAAGTAAAATTTCGATCCACTTATGTTCCATCGTGCCGAATCCAAATTAATTGCTTTCACTGAAAGCTTAAATCCTTCCCGTGCTCTTATTCAGTCCAAATTTTATGACGAATATTATTTTAGAAGGCAAATCATCCTAGTTTGGACGTAGAATGGTATGAAGCCTACCGAACTATGAGCCTGCTTTATCCAGCGCTTAGTTTACATACTCTGGGAAATTTGAGGCTGGCAGATTCCAAAGTAAATTCCAATATTCTACATGCTGATAAATCCGATCAGATCTGTACAATGACGACTATGGGAAATAAAACTGGGTTAGAAATAAGCGTTAAAGAGCTAAATAGTATCACAAATGTAGATTGAAAATTAAAAGCAAAATATAGTGGGGGCTGAATTATTGAAGCTCTTTTATGCTCTCTTTTAGCATTTCAACATTTCTTCCATGTAACTAAGCTCCATGGTCTTGCGTGATTGTACATCTGAATAACAAAAGAGGAAAATCACGTTCTTGATCCAATCAACTGGTAATTTACCAAACGTACGTATCCATTCCGATCTCTGACGGCAATGTACATACTGCAACAACAAACAAACATGATGCCTTTGAAATCCTTGTGTAATCAATGTTCCACGTAATATTTTGTTTTGTGAATCTCTGATTTATTTCAACGGGATGCATAACCGTTCACAAATATGCAACAAGCACGCAGTCTTCATAGTCTTGATGAATCCTTTTCATAATAAAGGTTCAAAGTTCTGTATCGGATATAGCAACCACGTCATAGGAAAAGTGGAAAACAAATTTGAATCCAAATCAAAAGACTTCAGAGTTCAATGAGAAATAACAAACTGTGTGCAGAAAACACCAACCGAACTGCAGACTAATTTGCATGCACAACCGAAGGACTTTGCAATACTACATAAATATACCTACATATGTACATTTGTGGGTGTCCTATATGCACGTATGTACATGTGTGCACATGTTTGACCGCGGAAGGCGTAAACTAAATTTCTACGGTGGAAGTGGAGGAATGGGAATGGCTAATTTATTATGGTTATAAAGGAAAATGAAATGACTGTTCACAATTTCTGTCTTATCGCTGGACACGAGCATAATGCGTGTCAAATTTAACTTTTGATAAACCCCACACACTTTTACCATAGTAAATAAACTTGTACGCGACCAAGTCAAAGTGGGCTGGTGGTTGACCACAGGGTTGGTTGGTTAAGTTTATTTGCGTAGATTTCATGCGAGTAAAAGAGAGCGAGAGAGAGCCAAACTTAATTTTAATGGCTACTATTCAGAATGTTAGTACAACATGTAACGACTTTTGTTCGAGCCAAAGTTGAATATGGCTCGTACAGCGAAAGAAAGAATATTATAATATCTGCACAGGAGAAAGGCTGTCACGTCAATGTATGTGACGAGTAAGGTTGAAACAGGGGCAAACTTTTAGACTTTCTCCCGGTATGGACAAAGTCAAAAGCAAGCTCTCTCTCTCTGGACTTTGTGTTAAGAACAATGCTTCGCCTTAATTAAACTGGAATTGGATAGCTGCTAAAACTAGGAGAATATGCTCCAGTTCTCAAGTCGATGGATTGCATGCAGCCAGTTAGCTAGATATTGTCAGACACTGGTGCGGCATGGCATAGCACCGCCGAATAGGAAGTGAACAAACCAAGTCCAAACTCCTGCGTGAGATATGAAGTTTATTATTATTTGTCTTGGCATTTTCCTTGGAGTTTGGTTGTATTAACTAATTTTGAAAGTGGTTCAGTGAATACAAAAATACAGGCCGTAAGCAGTCGTGGTTTAACAGGATTAGGAAAATATTTTGACACTATTAATCAAACTCATGATTATGCTTACAAGAGATTGTAGTGACTCTCATCCGTCAAATCGATCTACGAAATTGCATTACCCTACGCCTTCTTATTCCCAAAACAGTTAAAAAACAGCAACATGTGACAAATTAGCTCTAATCTTGTATAGATGTTATTAATCATTGCATACTTGTCTCCCAAATCTCTCAGCACAAAAACATCTACCAGATTCCATAATCTATCAACACAACAAGATTAAAGTGCTGTCCGAGGAATTTGATGTGAGCTGGACAAATTAGCTAACATGTGGGTCTATTGCAAGCATAAGCATGTTCATATTGGAGATGGAGAAAGGTTATGAGAGTGCCAATCTCTAGTCACTTTCCATCTTGTGCTAAAACTACGCACCTAGAAAAAGTCAATGGTCATAAGTCCTCGGAAGTACATACATTGATAGTTCTATACCATCGATGTATTATCATAAGAATGCATCATTGCTCACCACTTCACACCCCACACTTTCTCCTATTTGCAGATTCTTCTGAATACTTTTTCCCATTGCAATGAAATACACATTTGCTAAAAATTATTACATTGCTCTTCCTGGAAGGGAATATGAAATTAACTCAGTTTAGCTCTCATGGCAAACATCTATTGTTGTGCATCAGAGTCTCGTTATAGTAGTCGATGCTCGTTATATTTGATGGATGGAAGTTGTAACCCCCACCGGTTACGAGGAACATCAGTCTTTCTTCCTCATGTACAAAGTTCATTGTGCTGCTCCTTTTTAGTTTATTCTTTAGTAATTCTTTCAGAGTTTTTTGTACATGTCCATTCTTTTCAATCCGATTTTGGGTCAGCAGAAATCTCACTCAAGACATTGATGGACTGCTTAGAAAACTGCGTTTTTCAGCATAAAAATCTAATAGAATATATTCTTTGCAAATTTGTATTCTAGATGCATACACAAATATACCCTACATACATGCTATAGCTACTATACATTATATAGTTCATTTTGTATTGAAATCCGACTGGTGGACCTCTATCATCTAGGTAAACTAATCCTATTTTACTCTGGAAGTATATATTCTTAATGCTTATCTATTGATTTATTCAGAGTCTGGAGGTTCAATTATATTTAAGGGGTCTGTTATGTAATACATAAATATGTTAACTCAATGCATAAATAGTCAATCTTAAATAAAACTACATGCATAGCTTTGCTTGCTTTCTTTCTTCCTTTTACCAGCGAAATTGCCAATATACTTAAAATTTTGAGTTTTTCTAATAGAATTCTGTTTTATTTCTTACAGATCACATTCGAGAATTCAGTAAGTACAGATTGGAAAAATAATCGACAATCAGACGTTGAAGCGCAGTCGTTAATACAAAAAATCTAAAAACCCCATTTTTATAATTATTAATCATGTACGCTATTTAACAGGTTGTGGAAAGCGGTACTACTACCGCACATTCTACCAAGACCCGAAACGAGGAGTTCTCTACATTGGTGCTATGTAAGTGCACAATATTATATTTCTCAGGATCAAAACTGACATTTATTTGATTTTCTCATTAATCTGCAGCCAGATCACTTTATTAATTAAAGCTGGTTCGCTAGATTCACTACGTGGCATATCTTTTAATATTGTACTTATTAATACACCACTTGTTCGTTAAGCCCACTACGATGTACTTATGAGCATTCGACATTACAAGCAATTCGCTCGCTCGGATGAAGCATGATAAGATAAATACCTTTCTCTTGAACTTTTACCCTCTTCTTCAGACCTTAACACGACGTTTACATACTTGGATTTAGCCTGAGTGAAGCTGGGCGAAAGGATAATTTGATTAGTGTTTGATCTGAGAGCCAATGCTTAATTTTGATTAAAATCTTACTGCGTGTCCACTCAGGTGAAAGGTGGAAGTTGATGTGATTAGCGAAATATATCGCTATATGAATATGTACGTGTAAGTACATGTACGGGATGGCACTGGATAATAATTTGAGGTTTACTTGATTTATACTTGAGGCTCGCATATAAATACTTGTACCTGGAGTAGCTCCTAATTAAATTAGACCAGATTAAAGTGGTTTACGTTTTGAATAGAGGAAAAACATACTCGGCTTCAATAATAAAAGTTGAGCCTCTAGAATATTTCTGGTCTGGATTAGCAATTTCTTGCCGCATAAAGTAGCAATAACAGGCATGTTGACTTTCCCTGAAAGCATCTCCTTTATTCGTTCCAAATTCCCAAATTGAGGATGAACTATGTGTTCTATCTTTATTCTACAGGATTCCTTGATTTCTCCTCATAAACACAGGTTCAAAGGGAAACTGGTTTGTGTATCTACTCCATTGTTCTAATCATTTTCTCTCAAGATGACATTTCACTTAGCACACGAACCCTTGTGTTTGCACGGGGTTAATGTATAGTTGAAAGTGATGGGCCTACTAAATGGAGTTTATATACGGTGATGAGGAGAGGAGAATCTCGTGGAGATGTATAATGAAGATAGGAGAAACATTGTCACCAGTCATTCCCATTGTTCGTACGCTTTCATCCCGACTTTGCAGGACTGAAATAGCACTAGATGAGAAAATAGAATTGTAATTGCACCTCTTTCCCATAAGCCATCCTAGGCTCTCAGGCAAGGCAGGTACATGGTTTCAAGAGGGATGGTGTGGGTTTCCTCGATTTCGGATTCTCGAGTGGGAAATTCATAGGAAACTTAATGGATTTCGGATATTGCAAAGTGATCGGAGGAGAGGGATGTTGGAGGAGGAAGAGGACGGGAAGATGGAGATGGGGAAAGCTTTTATCTTGGAAACATCGCTCTGTTTGTATTTACCCAAGAGTAGATTGGTTCCGGGAGAGAGAGGCTGAAGATGAGATGGCTTGGCCAGCCAGACGCTGAATTTCGGATTTAGAGGTTGGACCTTGGTTTGCTTAGGTTATCAAGTGGTTCCTTTCACAGACGGTGAATTTCAATTCGATAACTTATGAGGTAGCAGCCAGAAATAGTTCTGATTTTATTGGACGGTTCAAACAACCAAGATGCTACACGAAGCTACAAGAAATTGTATTCTTCCCGGCGTACGTGATTTTGTGTCTCTGATATTGAAACTTTGGACTGCGTGGAAAATCATCCCTGCTCTTTTAGAACGTTACGCTTTCAATTGGTTTTACTGCAAATACAAAGTGAAAAATCAGAGTAGGTTCGGGGGAAAGTCGAGTTTGCTTTGCAATACAATTACAACGAGAATGACAAAGAAAAACCAGATTCATTTTCTTAAACACATGGATGTTATTCTACAGAAAGCTCGTTCTAATGATTTTTAATTTAAGAGAAGGAATGGCTATTTTCCATCCAAACTATTCAGGTTTACATGTTTTATGGAAATCTGTCTCACTCATCCTTTTGTTCTCATAGCGAGGTCATAATGGGATAATCCTTGACTTGATGACCCTGTTTATTGAAATGAATGCGAGATGACATACGGGGTGACCTGGGTTGTGTCTACGAGCTTCAAACATTAGAACATTAATCGGAGATTTCAAAAGTGGTAGATTCCAAGTTTGTTTATTGAAGACGAGTGTCTCGGTCGTGTGTCAAGCTGCTCCCTGCATTCTGCAATCTCTATAATAAATTCCCGTTGTTTTCCTGGGACGATGCTTAGCATAGGTTTAGTGTACTTGAGGGAGCTTATGAGGGCACGCTGGGTGCATTATGTAACTCGAGCCATGTCCCCTCTCCGTCTAGCTCCAGGCTCTGAGAGTTACATGAGAAAGTTGAGGACCATGATGAAGCCCAACTGGGAAGATAAATATGATTCTGTGTATGCAAAGCAACGCGGAATATGGAATGGGGACAGCAGCACCCCCAGTAAATTGTATTTCCAGTTACATGGATATTTCCAGTTTCTCATTAACTCGAGGCAGATATGTAAATACGAGTCACATTGGTGCATAAGTAGAAGGCTCGTGTTTAGTAGGTTCTCAATGGGAGGTTTCATCAATGGGAGGATTACACGACTTGAAGCAGCTTTAATTATTACTTTCGTGACATGGGCAGAGCAGCGAAAATATATTGGTGTTGTCACTTCACTATGCTGTACTTTACCTCTGACCATTGGGTATGGCAAACGGGAAGACAATGTACAAATGCCGTGGATGCAAGTAAATAACTGATGTCAGAATCATCTCTGCTTCCTTCCTAACCCGGAGAACGCATTGATCTCCTCCCAACGTTTGTCAGGCCCTAAAGGATTCATTAATTTTTGTTTAATTTCTGTCCTCCCTGTGCCACTCAAACTTCAAATTTCAAACCCTGCCATGAAGGAATACTTGCATTGCTCTAAACTGCCTTCACTGAGAGAGTCATGGTATAAATGTATTTATTTTGTAGTGCACCATTAAGGCGAGTATTAATCAGCCCAAGAAGAAAACGAAGCCAGAAATGTGTAGAAAATTAATTATGACTTGGGCGCGAGTAAACATTATACTTCCCCTTTTTAATTGAGAAAGGAATTTATTCACAAGTGAGGACAGTCCAATAAATTAGTTTCGGCATGTGGGCATAAATTATCCACTTTTTAAGAAAGAGTAGGAGGGAGTAGTCGTGCTCGTTAGGAAACTTGCGCTAATCAGTGGATGAGTTATTTCAGGAAAACAAATCATTGTCCGCTAGTTGGTGCTTAATTAGTAGATATTAATACTTAAGACGATAACGTGGGTTGGGATGGATGCATGTGCTATGTGCATCAGGACATGAATGAGCTGGGAGGATCCAACAACTTTAGTTCAAAATTATGTGCATGTCGTACGTCATTATTTTATTTTGTCTTTATTTTGTTACTGGCTTGGTTTATTAATTTGACGAAAGTTATCGTCCTCATGTGTTGACAGAATCAAAGCTACACGAGATATTTATAATAAATATGCAAGATATTAACTAACATCAAGGTAAAATATAATATGCATACCAAACTCGTCTGGTTGCTGATTTACTCACCGATGTAGTTGGTTTGCGGGTGCCTGATACAAGTCAGAAGTTGTTGATAATAAAGGGACAGCCTCGAGTGGATTCGCATCCTATGATCCCATCTCTTTCCTAGAATCTCATCATTAATTCATTTTATGACTGTTTGCAACCATCTTGCAATGGAGTGCCAAGTCCGTTCCCTGCACTATATGAAAAGAACAAATAACAATCCCACCTTGTTTTGTGGAAGCAGATACTGCTTGGATCTCCTCTTGTCTTAAATCAGACTGCGCAGGTTAAATGCTATTTAGTATGCCATTTTATGACTGCAAGTATGGAATAGCTTGGCTTGCACAGTCGTCAAGTTCCCAACTACTTTTTTTTAATTTTCCTAGAGGACTTTTTCTTTGGTTGTTGCAAACAAACACACGCGTTCTCAATATTTTATCCTCAGCTACATCCCACATACATACGTTCATGCGTTCATATACCCACCGACACAGCACTTACAGCACACAGCACAAGCTTATGATTCGACATAAAGAATGTTGAGTGATTAATGTTGGCCTTAAGTAAATAGTTTAAATCTCCATGTTTGTGCATCATCACATTTACAGATAGAACTCTCAACCATAATAAAGAATAATGTTGAATGGAGTCATGCAGTTTGGCAAACGAGAATGAATTGAAAATGTCAATTGTGTAAAACAACAATGAGAAAGTCACTCTCAAAGTGCACAGCCATTCTTCGTGGTTGAAATGCTGAAATGTTGGACTTTCGGCCGATCGGTCAGTGGTTATGTGTTCGTTTCCTGTAATGAATGCGTAACAACTACAGCTTTTGTCCAAGCATCCAATGGGTCGACTAGCTCAGACAAAAAGCTCACGTCCAATTATTCAAATTATATTTGTATTTTCACAAGTTTTACTAGCGCCAAGGTTCTGAATAAGGCAAATCCTTAATTCCGAAATCATTCGTATTTATATGCAAAGTTTAGAAAAGTTAATGTCTTTGCATGTGGACATGTAGTTGTGTTTGGATGGCAGTTAAAGGGCTGGGTCAACACGTGTTGGAAATAACATTAGGAAGAACTTAATGGTAATCCAATCCCTTATTTGTGGGCAACAAAATTCTACACAAAATTAGTCGTCTTGAGTACAATCGTGTACATTTTGGGTTTGCAAATTGTGCAGCCCTAGGTAAAATTTCCACAATTTCATTTTATATGCCAGTCAGAGTCCTGTTTTGCAAAAATTGATCAAACCGCAGATATCCAACTCTTTATTGCTCGGCCACATGAAATGTACAGGAATTATTGGTGACACGAAATCCTCCGGAGACAGAAATAATAATCCAAGCGAATTGGTTGGTAGGAATGGTTCCTGCTCATTCGCTGCGAGTAGTGGTTGATGCATGCATAAAAGTAAAATATTTTGAACTTCAATCCAAATTCTCATCGCTTCTGCACTGTTATTCTAATTTAGAGTGGAGAGCACACATTTAGAATGCTAATTTTCTCCGAGTTT